GCTTATCAACTCTGGCCATCTGATCTTGAGTATTGAGCGAAGACAACTGTTAATGAAGGTCTGTAGTTTGTTTGAGATGCTCTTTATGACGCGCAGTGCAAGTCTCTGATCCGTATGTTAAGTAGCACTGACTGACTTCACATTGGAGTTGAAAATCCGGATCTTATTTTGGATGCTGAGTGCTGTTGACCTCCACACAGACTTGAGAGTAGTGAAAGCTTGTCTTGCTTTTCCGATTCTTGCTTTGATATCCTCGTCAGTTCCGTCTGTAGTTGAGACGATGCTTCCCAGGTAGGTAAAACAGTACAGTACAAACATGATAATATTCGTGATCTACCGAGCATACACAGATATCCGACAAAATTTTTGAACAGATACATTAACTCAGCTAGTGAACAGTTGAAAGTACCCACAGAGTTCCCAAAAATCAGTCTTCCTAAGTAGGCGAGAAACAAAGTCCATTCATAGTTCTACACTACCTCATCCTGCAGATACAGAACACAAAATTGATGTAAACAAGGCCTTCAAACTCATCTACCGTACACCAACTAAGCTTAATTTTACCTCAAGAGTTCTGCTATAACATATTGATGAGGCTGTTGGAATCTACATTAAGAAGCCTAATCTATATATCCAAAAGAAATTAGTTCAGACGTTTTCCTTACCCCCCCCCTTGGCCATCAAGGTTTTAATGATCCTTAATTTTCTATAGTTTGGTTTGTAAGGATTAGTTATGTTTTTACGAGTTGATCATGGATTGATATCAGTTAGAGAACCATTGAAAACCAGCACTGGAGTACTGGACAGCCGCTGTTTCATCCTAGTTTGGGAATCATCGGCAGTATGCACCCACTGGGATTCGAACCCGGGATCCTTGATTTGTTATAGGGATTTCCTTAATTTTATTTGATATTATATTTACTATTACATCTTTATTTTCATTATAACCTATGCATCTTTCTTGAATTGTAGTTTTCCCATTGTGATCTTAACAAATCGATAGTATTTAAAAAAATACAAATATTGTTAATGACGATTATTCTGGAATATTCTGTGTAGAAACGAAAGAGGAAATTATCAAAAAGAGCATTCTTTGATAAAACTTCCCCTTGTCTTCTAAATGTCTAAATGAATATTTGCCCTATACTAGTTAGCTGTTTTGATGACTGTCTGACTGACTGGTTTCAACAAAGAACTTTGCACCGATGTGCAGCAGTTCAAGTCACCACACTCCATGTAGCAAACAAAGCAAGAGAAGAAAGTAGAAAGAAATGCAAAGTAGAGACAGTAAACACAGATATGATGCAAAAAGAATCCTAATATCGAAGGAAAACATAGTTTTATTGGAAATTATAAATCACAAGGAGTGAATGTATCTGCGCCATTGAGAAAGATGTGAAAGATGAAAAAGTTGTCTCCAGCCATTGGTGTTCACCGTCCCAAGGACTCCAACCAGGAAGTCTACACTTTCCTACGTGGCTGGCTGGCTTAAACTAACTGTTGTGGATTTCATTGACTGATGCAAGGTTTTAGTTTGACCACCACTGGCTCTTTTCCAAACTGACTCTATGTCAGCTAACATTGCCCGTCGAGGAAGGCGATGGCTAGGGATGCATGCGTAACACATGTCCTAACCATCTCAGTTGGTGTAACGTCACAACTCGTCGACTGATTTCCCCCGCCTCACCTAGCACTCGACGCCTAACCTCAATATTGCTCATTCTGTTATACTTAAAACTGACAATTTCTATGGTTTAAAATAATCCATGATTCGTAAAATTTTGATGTAAAAAAAAAACAACTATATATTAGTGTAGACCTCATGACGGGAAACTAATTGACAAAGGAATGGAAATTTCTTCACTCAGTTTATTGTTAGTTTTTTTTCAGAATGCGTAAGTGGGAATTTCGAAAGAACACGATGGTCGAAATTCCTCCAAAGTCTGTGTAAGTAATTTGTAGAGACAAGAAAAACAAAAACAGAAAATTTTCGTCTCTTACTGGCAATCGACGTTTTATTTTTTTTATTTCAAGCCTTTAAACCCTCCAGGGTCACATTTTTGCAGTCTGGTAATAGTTGCATGCTACACCCGAAGGTCATATTGGGTCATTATACACTGTAGAGACATCCGCTTTGTTTGACCCCGTGTTAAATTGGGTCAAGTTTAAAGGTGAGATTTTTCAGTCTTTGTCCGTAATAAATGAGTAATTCTCGCTTATCGACACACTGATGATTGATTGCTTTCTTCTAAATGATGTGAGAATTTTGTTTTGCGAACTATTATATTTGAGCTTAGTTTTCGACAGCTATTTGTCTATATATCCATCTGTCTGTCTGTCTGTCTGTCTGTCTATCTATCTATCCATGCGTTAAATGTGTAAATTAGCTGTCTGCCCACTGGCATGGAAGAGGAGAGCGGGGGGAGGGGTTGTTCATCCCCATTTTCACTTTTTTAGCTCAGTATAGAGAAAAATTCCCAGGCTTTTCATTGAAACGTTTATAGCACACTGATTGGTGGCTTTGAACAGTTGGGCAAATAAGGTAAAGGCGCACAAGTGATCCCTTCAGCTTAGCTGTATTTCGTCCTATTTCCCGACTGACTACTATTCATTTAAGCAGTAATCAGTTCTAAATCCCCATCATTGATCTTCTGGGTTAGAATTTAACTGGTCAATAATGACTAACTTTTGTCGATGTTACGAACAGTAGTCATTGTAATTATATAAGTTCGAGATTTTTACTGTTGTAACCAGAGACAACTGTACTGACGGCTAGTGAATTCTCAAGACTTCGTGCTAGTGAGCGGTGGACATGACACACTGTATTAATTCAGAAGGAAAGAGATTGCAAAATCAAGTCAAAAACACGTTTCTCCACAACAGTGTTTAATAAATCTTGCGAAGTGTACATGAGTTGAAGGTAGTTAGATTGCTCGTCAGTCACATATGTTATAAGACTCAGGGATTGACTTGCTACCAGGGAATAATCTCGTTAACATAGAATATGCAGACGATGTAGTTATTCTAGGCGAGGACGCTGACAAAATGCAGAGTCTACTGAACACCTTGAGCAACAATCTTCGTATGTTTGGCATGCGATTCGCCCCTGTAAAATGTAGGATGATGCTGCAGGATTGGACTTCACCGGCCCCTAGATTAGAAATAGGAAGTGAAGTGGTAGAGCACGTTGACCGCTTCACTTACTTGGGAAGTATCATCAGCCAACGCCAGACGGGTTGATCTCCGACGAAATCTCAGCACGAATACAGAGGGCTAGGTTCGCATATGCCAGTTTACGCCGTCTCAAGCGTAGACGTGATATCCGATTATCGACCAAAGGGCGTGTGTACTGCTCAACAGTCCGCTTCGTCCTCCTTTATGGCTAGCTGTGAGACCTGGCCATTGAGAGCAGAAGACATGAAAAGACTAGCTGTCTTTGATCATAGGTGTCTGCGTTCTATCTCCCGTGTGAAGTGGTATAATAAGGTGAGCAATACTGAGGTTAGGCGTCGAGTGCCACGTAAGGTGGGGAATTCAATCGACGAGGCTGTGAAGTGACACCGATTGAGATGGTTAGGACGTGTGTTACGTATGCCTAGTCATCGCCTTCCTCGACGGGCAATGATAACTGACATAGGGTCAGGCTGGAAAAGAGCTAGCGATGGTCAAACCAAAACATGGCACCAGACAATGAAATCTACAACAGTTAGTCTAAGCGACGTAGGAAGGTGTAGACATCCTGGTTGGGGTCCTCGGGTCGGTACACACCAATGGTTGGAAACAATTGGTGACATGGCTCAAAATCGTTCTCAATGGCTGGTGCAGATGCATCCACAACTTGCGACTTATGATTTCCAATTAAACTGTTTTGTTCTTCGTTATTATTATACCCTTGTCTCACATCTCAGTTTACTGTCTATATTATGCATTTCTCCTACTTTTTTCTCTTGCTTTGTGTGCTACATGGAAGGAGTGTGGCGACTTGAACTGCCGCACATATGTGCAAAGTTCTATGTCGAAAACAGACAGACAGACATATGTTATTGGAATTCGATTCCTGGCTGATGCACTCCTAGAACTTCCGAGACAGTTGTTCACTACTCTGAAATCAGTTTGATAATCTAGTGCAGTCAGCATAGGGAACAAGATCCATAACTTCAAACTAACGTCAGTTCACTACTTTCATATGGTTCAGCGACTTGGCTATCGTGTCACCAAAAGCATTCCCAAAAAAAGGCTTCAAACCTTTATCAACAGGTGCCTTAATTGGCTCCCTGCTGAAGACCAGATTGCCCTCCGGTAAGAATAATCAACAAGGAACTCACTCTACAGTGCAGTGAACCAGTCAAGGACCAACTGTCAGGCAAAGAAATACGCAGAAGGAAATACAGATGAACCGATCACCCTGCAGACTGGCCGACGAATGAAATCCGAATGGGATATGACAAGTTGGGCGTCCGAGGGTGACATGAAGGAGATCGTGTGAGAAGGAGATGAGTACTTATGGGGGGAATCGTTGGGCTAGCTAAAGAGAACTAGAGAGAACAGAATGATATTGAGATTTGGTGATGAAGCCTTATGTTCCACTCGAAACCCAAGGGAAAGATGATAATAATAATAACAATATATTAATAATATGTACAACTAGATGAATATATGTGCAATGATTCTAAGCATAATGGCTTGTGTCACAGTCTTCTGTGCATGTGTGCATGTGTATGTGTGTGAATGAAAGCTGAAAGCCTTCAGTAAACCCATGTCATTGAATATTGGACGAAGTAATTTTAATTATTCAATTTTTTTCAACTACAAATTGCTCAGAAGGATTGTTTGAATAAACTGAAAATAAGAAAGAGAGAGACAATTAGCGTGAGTACCTTTCAATTAATGTCTTTTTTTCTTTTTGTTCCCACCTCATTCACAAGTTTTGTTGAGGATTTTACATATATTGCACATTTAAAGACACTTTTCTGGTTCAGCCCGCCTCCAAAGACACCTACCTATTGCCAGCCTTCATATATCACATATTTAGCTAATTGATTACCAATAGCCATAATAAGTGAAGCAGGATTACCGCTGGGTATTTTTGAAATAACCGATGCATCCCCGATACGAACATTATTCACTCCGATTAACCTGGAGGGGAAAAAGACAAGATGAAGAAGAAGAAGAGAATAATGATGGTAATGAAAATCATTCAAATAACTGTCTGCATTTATTATACACGATAAATTGAGACAGTCAATAGGAATCCCTGGACCTATATTTTGCACTCATCATTAAGGAACTTATATCACTCAATGCTGCAGTCTCAGAGGCTACCACTGAGTTATTCGGACTCTTTAGTTGACCTCGTTCACTCAGTTATCTGTGGTAGACAAATCGGATCTGTTTCAAGTTTGGGCACGGAACGGTATCATTTTGAGAACCACTGAAAACCAGGGAGTACTGGACAGCGGTCTCGTCCGTTCGCCCGTAGTTCGGTACTCATCTTCAGTACGCTCCCACCGGGATCCGAATCCAGGACCTTTCCATTACACAGCCCATGAATTCCAACTTCTAGCAATTCGTGAATTTAGCGCCACCAGCAACCAGTGATGCATTAGTTGCGGGTATTTGTCCCCATTCCCGATCGAGCTGACTCCACTTGTCACGACTTCCTCCTAGAACTCCAGGCAACTTCCTCCTCTAGCCTGTCACTAGCGTGCTTTCTAATCTAAGACGAAACAGATGTCCAGGACTCCGTGGTTTTCAATATTTCTAATAGTACCCAGCCTAAAATAGCGTATCATCCTTTCTCACGAATCGTGTGATTTATATTGTGATGGAGTTACTATGTTAGTGTATCATTTCTAACGCATAATGTGATTTAGCATGTGACCAATTCACCTTCTTTTGTCTCACCTTGATCTTTGTCTTATCACGAACCAATAAGAACAATACATAGGCATGGTCATGAGCCGACTTTATATTATGGTTAAGAAAATGTATAGATATTATGTGTTGTTTCTTAAACTATGTAGTGTAGTATAGTACAGTATTATACAATATCTTACAGTCACAGGCCAGCCTTTGTATTTTGATATTTGCATGGCTCAGTGAATCGGAAGGTATTAGTATATCAGTCGATTTCATTACCGTTATAGTAATTAACAGGCGCAGACACAACAAACTAGCGACGGATTTATTCAGTTTAGTTCAGTTATGCAACAATTCGGCAACGGAGTTATAACAGTTTCTTGAACTGATATCAATCCGTGGACAAACGTGAAACAAATCAGATATCTTACAGAGCCGTTATGCAAAGACTAGAACTAATAGCTATACCTATAATTAAACCGAAAATCTGGACAGGTACGTTACGTTGATGATACATTTGTAATAATTAGGAGAAGTGATTTAGAATATACCCATAAATTAATATACAACATATTTGAAGACATCAAATTCACAAGAGAAGAAGAACTAGATAACAAAATCCCATTTTTAGATGCCTTAATCAGGAGAACCAACACAGGAAATTCAGAAACATAAGTTTATAGAAAATCAATGCACACAGATCAAATACCCAACTATACTAGCAATAATCCAATTACTCACAAACGAAACTGTGTGCAGACATTGTTTAAAAGAGTTCAAACACATTGTAGCACTCCAGAGTTGAAAAGAATGCAAGAAAAATACCTACAAACGGTCTTCAAAAAAGAATGGTTATCCACAAAATTTCATCAAAAAGTGTTTAAAGTCGAATCAAAACAACAACAAGAAACCATTATCAAAGACCACAAGAAAATTCATTCTACCATAAATGAGAAATATCTCTGAAATAACAGATAGAATACTGAAACCGTTAGATATAGATATAGCACACAAGCCAGTCAAATCGCTTAATTCGATATTATGCAAACCGAAAGATCCAACAGAAAAAGAAGATAAAATTATTACCATTTACAAAATAAATTGTGTGAACTGTAACAGGCATTACATCGGCCAAAATGGGCGTACCCTTCGAATTAGAATCCAAGATCACAAATCAGCCATGAAAAGACACAATATATATTCTTTAGTATCAATGCATATAGACAATTATGGACATCCGTTTGATTGGGATAATGTCGAAATCTTAGACAGAGGAAACACCAAAAGTGCAGTCAGGGAATTCCTAGAAGCCTGGTACTCAAACGAAAATGCAATTAACAAACACGTTAATACAGACGAAATATACCAACTAATAAAAAGTAAATCAGGTGACCAGAAAGTTTAAAATCCAAGTCAATAGAAAATGGTCAATACATACGTAAAGATGGTTACGGGGAGACGCAATTATATCACTCATGAAAAAATTTAAATCATTTAACTTTATGCTAAATATGGCGCTGAAGATGTCTAGCAGAAGGACTACGAAAGCTCCGCAACTAAACCAACCAGCTCAGAGAACACTATTAATTGCAAATCAGATCTCTACTAACTAATTCGGATTTGTGTTCTGAAAGTAGCACTTTCTGAACACACATATACACACCTGCATAAGTTAAGCAGCTATAGGAGAAAGTATGAAAAGGTACTGTGGTCAACTGAATAGCTGTATTGATTTTGCTTCTCAAAATTTTAACGAAAGCTGTAGACAGAAAGAGAGGAGAAATCTCAGTAACTCTTGCTTCAGTTTAGGTTGTCTTGCAGCCTTTCTTTTTCATATATATATATATATATATATTTATATATATATATATATATATATATGAAAATTTCGTTCTTTGTTTAACATCTGAAAGGGTGAAGATAACCAGTTTGGACCCCACGGATCTGGTTCGTTGCCAATTCGATAGTCAGATGGAAAACTTGTTCATCTTCTCTTGCCTCATAGTCAACAAAACCCTCCTCCTCCTACGTTTTAGTCTTCATTCTCCAGAACTTCACTTACACACAGACTTTGAGGTATTTTGAGACAGTGGTTCTAGATGAACAACACTACACAAAATATGATAGAGCTTATAAGTCGCAATTTTATTAAAATGCTAACCTAATTGAGGAGAAAATTATATAAATGAATTTAACACTCTTGTGTCATTTTATAGGAATGTAATGACATTCTTCAACAGTACGAACACTATTCGCAAATACCACAAATTTTGTATATAATAATTATTATTATTGCTACCATGGATTAGAGAGGTTTCGCGCGCACTTCGGATTGTAAGAGTAAGTGGTGGCCAAACAAAAACATGACATCAATCCATGAAATCCTTGACAGTTAAACTGAGTCAGGTAGGGAGATGCAGACTTCCAGGTTGGGGCCCTCGGGACACTAAGAATCAATGGCTGGAGACAATAGGTGACATGGCTCAAAATCGTTGTCAATGGCGCAGATGTATTCAGTCTCTGTAAACTTTCATATTCCTTTCTACCATTACTCATTCTGTTTCACTCTTATACTTGTCAAAACTCTATTGATTCTCTTCACTCATTTTCTTGTATACCTTTGTGTGCTCTTTGGAACGTGGCAACTCGAACTGCTGCACTTCGGTGCCAAGTTCTATGTTGAATCCAGCCAGCCATTGCTGCCATGGGCTCCTAGTGAAACATAGGGCTTTAACCAAACATCTCCATTTTACCCTGTTATTTGTAGTTATCATAAAGCTGGCTGAACGACTACCCAGTTAGTCTCATCCTCTCCTCAAGATGATCTCCCAATGTCATCCTCGAACACACGTCCACTCAAGGATCCTATGCTCTGTCAACCAGCGGTCTTGTCAGAGTATATCCAATCCATCCATCACCACTTTCTTCTGCATACTCATAATGTAATGACCCCGTGAATCTCACCGGTCACAACTTCTGACTAGAACTCCAGACGCCTTCGTTCTGTAGACAGTCACTATCCCCAGTGACCAGAAGATCAATCCCTAAGTGTTGATTTGCAAGGATTTGACTCCTTTCAAGTGAGGTAACAGATTGAAATCTGTCAGATAAACATCGAATTTGTTAAAGTTTATTAAAACCAATTTGAATTCCAGTTTTCATGATTAGTAACAATAAGGATAACAAAACTGACAGCTTACTTGAAGTTGTCTTCAACAACCGGTGAAAACTTTGCATTCGGTAACTTCATGCTGCATGTTCCCACTAAGTGATAGTTTGAAAGAGTTATTGACTTGGCTAGACAGGTTACAGCTGCTTTCAAGTTTTTAGAAAATTCAATTGACTCAAAGTCTCTTGAGCTATTGGCTTTTGGAATTTGTGGACAACCCGAATACCTTGGCAAATGTAGCTTTATGCTGATTGGTTTCTCACTGGTAGTCACTGTGGACCGGGTGAGTTGATTCACCTCGTTGATGTAGTAAAGTGTTTGGTGTATCCAAATTATGCCCTCGATCAACCGATCAAGATCACTCTGTTCACTAAAGTAGGCGGGATTAATGTCCAGTCGTCCACTTTCACAGTTGTCACCCTTATTATTGTTGTTGTTCTTAGCACTATTCTGCATCTTTAGTTCACCTCTTGAACGAGGATTGATTAGTGTGACCAGTAAGATGATAGGACTTTCGAAATTCTCACCATTTTCATCTTTACTGAATTTATCCCAAGCAGACGGCTGAAAATTGCCCAGCTGTAAAGCATAATATATTTGTATTACATACATTAAAACGGAGTGCAAATGGTAACACAACGGAAAAGATATTGGGAGAACTTTGTGGAGTTACAATGGAGAGAACATGATAGAGCTTCAACAGAAAATCGCCAATTCACTCTATTCTCCGAAGTCTTTTACAACCATTGTCATGATTGCCCATAAAATTTCATTTCCTATTCAAGGTGAGCCGGAATGGGAAAAAAGATAACTGGAGAATCCGAGGGTGAAACGTAGGAGATCGTGTGAAGAGGAAATGAGAGTCTGTGGGCAATCGTTGAACCACTTAAAGAGGAATAAAGAGAACAGGTAAAAATGGAGATGTGCTGCTGAAGCCCTATGTTCCACTCGGAAACCAAGGGGACAATAATTGTAATGCTATGTTGACGAGTATTGTTCATAGATGTCCATATTTTCGTGATTAGCAGCTTGTTGCTGCTACTGCTTTCAATGCCTTTCTCATCTTAAAAGCTTTCTTCTTCATTCCTTCACCATCTTTCAAGTAGAACATGGAGCTGTTTCAAGTCTAAATGTTTGTAGTTTCAGTGTAGCAGTGGTTTGTTTGACGGAGTGGGGTTTATAGCCTCACACTCAATCTTATTTCTTTTCCAGGCTGACTAAAGGGCAAGAAAACTAGGTGACGTTTCAGGAATGAGCCGACCAGAAAAAAACGAACCCCAAACCTCGAAGATGAGTGGTTGGCGAGCATACTACTACTAATACCATCTCTGAAACACCATGAAAGCATCAAAAGTCATTAATGTGACCGACGTTTTTGTCAAGTGTTGGTTCATAGAGTTAGAGGGTTGACCACGAGTTGAAATCATTTGGAGAACTATTTGATTAACCAGTAGGGAGTATTGAACAGCTGTCTCTGATGTCCTAGTTTGAGACTCTTCAGAGGTACACCCCCACTGGAGTTCTTACCTAAGACCTTCCAGTTACAAGGTGTACTCGTAGACCATTCAGCTACTGAGATACCATCCAACCGCCAGCCTTTGAATTCTGACTTCTGCCAATTCACGATTTTTGTATTCGGCGCAACAGCCGGCCAGTGTCATTGGCGATTTACTGACCTCTTATCTGACTTAGTGAACTTCCAACCCTTTTATGGTTCTCTAATCGATATCAACTCGTTATCAAAGCTATAATCAACGGTTCTCCCTCTGTCTGTGTTTTGAAACTAGGCTCTACTAGGTAATTAGCATACATACAGCACTCTATATTTTCTTGCATAGTTTGTTATTTTCTGAATAACTGAGAGACACGTACGCACGCACGAACACACACATACAGACATATACCTAATGACAAAATAAAACACTTTGGGTTTATTTCACTTATTATATTTTTCCCGCGCCAAGTTCATTCACACTAATTTATTCCGTACCGACTTATTTGTTATTCGTTTTGTCTATCTACTCCGACAAATGCTGACCTGCTTATATTCTGAACCGAAACAAAGTAAACAAGCAGACGAAAAAAAAGAATGCAAACTAGTGTTACCATGTCTACTTCTAATCTCTTTTCTTCTTCTCTCTCGTTTAGTTTTCTTTGTGTAAATTCATCTTTTTCACATGTTCTTCTGTATTATTGGCTACTTTGAGTGAAAGACACTGATCATTAGTGTCAGTGAATTAGCGTTCTGTACATGAATTTGTTTCAGGGCTTGGATATGCTTAAGCACAAAATCTTCTGACCACGATACTGGATATCCATAGATGTGCGTTTCTCTAATTATTATTATTATTATTGTTCCCTTGCGTTCCTAGTGGAACATAGGACTTCAACTGCACGTCTCCACTTGTTTCTGTCTTCTGCTGTACTTTTCATCTGCATCCATGTTAGTCCATACTGTTTCAGCTCTTCTTCACACGATCTCCTCCATGTCACCCTTGGACGTCCTACTCGCCACTTCCCTTTCGGGTTCCACTCGAGCACTGGCCTTGCGCGATGTCACTTAGCGGCCTCCTCACCGAGTGCCCAATCCATCTCCTCTTTCTCCTGCATATTTATTGGGCGATTGGTTCTTGTTTTGTTTGCTCCCATAGCTTCTTGTTGGTGATTCTTTCCGGCCATCTGATCTTCAGTATAGAGTGAAGACAGTTGTTGATAAAGGTGTGCAACCGGTTGGAAATAGTCTTTGTGACCCGCCAAGTTTCTGATCCATCCCTATAGAAGAACTGACTTGACGTTTGTATTGAAAATCCGTATTTTGTTGTTGATGCTGAGTTGAGTGACGAAGATTTCCAGATTGGTTTCAGGTTGATGAACGTGTTTCTCGCCTTCCCGATTCTCGATCTGACATCCTCGTCCGTTCCTCCTGTGGTTGAGACAATGCTCCCAAGATAAGTGAAAGAAGTAACCTCTTTCAAATCCCTCCGGTTGATGGTGATTGGCGCTGGATGTTGTTGTTGTTGGTTGGTTATTTTCATAACCTCCGTCTTGTCTATGTTCACCTGGAGTCCTGTCTTTGCTGCTTCTTCAACCAGTTTGTCGGTTTTCGCTTGTAAGTCTTCGATTTTGTGTGCCATCAAACATAAATCATCTGCGAAATCCAGGCCTTCTAGATTCTTCACGTTGGTCCAGGATATCGCTGTCTTCTCGTTTCCCACTGTCTGACGCATAATCCAGTCCACCACAATTAGGAATATCATTGGTGATAATAAGCACCCTTGTCTGACTCCTGTGTTTACTCCAAACGCCTGGCTGAGTTTTCCGTTGTGGATCACTTGACATGTGCCGTTGTCGTACAGCTGTTGAATAAGGTTGATGAAGCCAAGATATATGCTTCAAGAATAAATACTATTACGTGGAGAAAAACCCGGATGAATGACTTCTATGATCATGTGTTAGTAGTTCAATGACGCGCAGTACGCACGTTGTCCGGGTTCAGTTTCCGATCGACTCACGGCAAAGTTAACGTATAACTATCCAAGCAATGCGAACGCACTACTGACCTTGGGGCGGCCAATCAGAAAAAACAGTGTCTACTGTATTAAAATACCGTCTATGTACCAAATAAAATACAGATAATAATTATGACCACCCTAGGCCTATTTATCAGGAGAATACAGATAAGAGAAATAAAACAAACTAACCAAAACCTCTGTGACGCAAATCAAAACTATGATCCTAACTCGAACCTCAGTCCTATTTCAACTGTAACCCAAAACGTGTTACCAAACCATCATCCCAAAAGTACTTAAAAACGAGATCGACGCTAAACTAATGGTAGGTCCCGTTGTCCAAATGAACAGCATGTGTCCAAAGGTATTGGTGTGTCCAAACCCCATGGTCGCTATTCTTTAACTAAGTCATATACACCCTTAAAGACCTCGGTTTACTTACTAGCCACTAGTAAATCCGTGAACGACAGAAGGCTGAGTGCGAGGCTTATACATCCGCATTCTGCAAGCACTATAACATAAAAACTTGAAGTAATGCCTAGTAATACCCAATTATTGTGCAAAAACCTAAATAACCACCAGCTGCAATAACACGTAAAGGCTATTGTTATTGTTTCACTGACATTTTCGAAGGTGTCTTTCTCGAATGGCGAAGCGGAAATAATTGTGTATTGTATATCCGGTCGAGAGTCGTTCTCCGCCTTCTGATAACTAGTTCGATAATATCCAATAGAAGTCACTGCTGATGCTTGCGAAAGGATACCTGAAAGTGGAAAAGAAATGCAAGCTTAAGAAGATTTCATGACTGATATATGAATAGTTGAATACCACTCAAATCATCAACCAGTAGTGTATGCTAGCCAGATTACTGAAGTGATCTAGACACCAAAGAACAGTTTCGCTTATTTGAGGGCCTGGCTTATAAGCGATGCAAAAGGTTTGGCTTAGCTAAGAAAGCGTAGTCAGTTCAGAATAACTTCTGTGCAAATTTCGCAAATGCATCAAGGTCTAGCAAGACTAAAGACAAACGCATAGCACTACCTTTTCCAATCAGTTAATCAGTTGCCTTTATCGCACATGAGGAGACTTTTTGTGTCCAAAACAGACGTAGCATTTCACTACAATAGTTCACTTTCATTTCAGTTGATGGCTTATATTTAAAATTCGTCTAGTGCGAATGAAGCATTCTGAGAACGAAACACGTAGTTCAGCCAAAAGTCTATTTTTCAGCAAATTCAGTTTCCTCAAATTGACCTTTGACCTACTTAAAACACATAACCTCTATACACGTGAGTTTATCTTCCTGGTTTCAGATTACTTGCATCTATATTATTTTGAAATGGTATCACTGTCTGATAACCTACTTCATTTTTAATCCAGTTCTGTGACCTCAGGATTGTTCCACAGAGTTTGTTTGCACTCATACATGACATTTGGTAGTCGGATGGCGGCCTGCTTAAAACTTGGGCTATGAAAAACTTCCGTTTCTCTATTGCACACATATTTTCACTCGTTCGATTTGTTTTAAACGATTAAAATGTGACCTCTAATGGTATTGTCTACTCTTGTGTGTATTTAGAATGTTTACAAGCTTCAAAAGTTCCTACTAAACTTGAGAAAAGGCCTGACTGTGGGTGGCAACGTGTCCCGAAACTTGCGATAACTGTTCTTGGGTCTCAAAATGTACTTCTGAACTTCTCACAATTGGCTTTCAATTAGATATCTTGAATTTCTTTAGGGAGACAAAGTAAAAGTGTCAAAATGGAGTGGTTTGTCTTTCAGCTCAGGAAGTATTGTGTCTCAGGAACGATATACTGTCATTTAATATTTTACTTGAAGATATTGTACGAAGGGAAAATATCATGTGATGAACTCAGCTGAAAGTTCTGTACATAATATAAATATTGTCCAGAATAGAGCTGTTATTATTATTAGTTATTGTCTATGCAAACTATTAGCTCAGAGTATTCAGAGCCAGAATTTCAAAATATGAGCAGACCGTGAGCCATAATAGGTTGTGAAACCTGCGACTACAGTCACGAGGGCTTTAGGTTACTTACTATAGCTTCTGGCATAAGGTTCGTAGATTTGAATATCAGATCTGATAGTTTAACAGCCATGAGAAAGATTGCAAATCCACCTTAGCATGGATTGTCACAAAGAACTGCGAAGTTAATATTCGCCAGTCAACAATCACCTGCTTGAAATACTGTGAATTCGATTCCTAGCTACACCAAAACTTGAATGTACTTAACTGCTAAGTTACGCATGCGCGGATAAAACTCAATGGCGTGAGTCAACGTTCTAGACTTCAAGGAGAACAAAATGCCTTCTGCTTCTCAGTAGTTATCCTATCCACGGAAGCTAGAATTCAAGAGCCATTGAATTCCTGTCCAGTGTTTAGACGGTACCAGATTCTCTTCGTGAGGGTTACGGGTGTGATCCCTATTAGGATCATGCTTGAGTATTGCTGGACAGTCTCACACTAGCATGAAACAGCTTTCCAGCATACGCTGGTTCCCAGTAATTCTCCTACTAATTTTAGTTCCTGACGAAATCTAAAGTGCATTTAATTCACAAAAATAGCCTTACAAAAGAAACTTTTCACAATCTAAATATCTCTCTGTATTTACGAGACAAAAAAAACGTCATTGATAACCATGAATGAACAGTGCTCACATCAGAAGTCAATTGGTGGATGGTGACTAGCACTGGAATCTAGGATGCGCTTTTCGTCCCATCTGGGACTCGTCAACTGGATGTACCTGCATTCCCCAGTGGGTGATTATGTTCCTACCGAGGCTAGAACCAAGTGCCGATAGTTACAAACGCCAAAGCGTTATCCACTAGACCACTTGGACCACGAGATCCACCTCTTCTGCAACGCGTCATATTAATCATTTAATTGAATTTCAGATTTTCCCATCCATTGACTGGACCGAAGTGCTCGGTCTAATTACATGCCCAGACATCATCGAAGCATCTGCACAAGAAGACGACATGTCAACCTGAGACCGAGCACTTCGGTCCAGTCAATCGACGGGAATATTTAAAATTCAATTAAAGTGTTCACATCAGGTTGACTTTAGTTAGAAGGATGAAGAAAGCGAATTGTCAATGGTAGTAATCCTTTATGAATTATCTAGAAAAGTCTACCAGTACAATCTATCGATCGATTAGGTGGTTTATAGGCTGAACCGATGTACACATTTCGAAGGGCGTGTGAGTGTAGTCGTGTTTGCGTGTGTGTTTGTGTGTATGTGACTAATTGGAGCGTAACCTGCAGTATGTATGTATTCTGACATGTTCATGCATAGTATTTATTTGTATTCATAAATTTATTGATTGGTTGTACTTACTGAATTGTACTGTATTTTGTCGGATTTTTTCAGTCAGTTTCGTGAGAATTCATCTATGCTTTGCATGTAAGCAGTATACCACCATCACCATCCGGTGTACCGCATTTAACAAGATCAGTCTTAATTTGAAGTGTTGGTTGTCGGTGTATTGACCAGTTTCAAGTTAATTGACAAACTGACACTATTTAGAGAAGTATGGAAAGTCAGGAAGTCGTCCGCAGCTATGTCGTTTTAGTCTGAGACTCCTTACCAGCAGTTTGTTTTAACGACCTTATTGGGGACCAGACCCGAAACTTTCAGGTTATCTGGAGGAAACTGGCGCAAGTGGAAATTCATGCATCAGTGGATTACGTCCAAGAAGCTGAGTAGTCAACTGACTGGCCTCGTAGTATAAAGCTCCTGGATTAATTTTCCGGTGGGGCGAGTGAAGCTTTCTGCTGACGAATCCCAAAATGATGTCGGTTTCTGAACTTGAATATATTTATTCTATACATCCATAGGCTTGTAGGGAACCATTTCGAACAATAGGATAGTCGTCGAGAATTCGAAATATATTTTTCAGGATCAGAAATGCAGCACAACTGAAACGTGCTTAGCTAACTGGAGTGAGTGTGGTAACTACGGGAAGTAACATGATAGCATGGTGTGAATGCCTGACCGTGTACTTTCAGCTTGACTAGTTGAATACTGAAAGCTGTAGGCTAGTAACTTTGAGGAATTAGTTACCACTACGAGTCTATCCAATAATTTTTTAACTGTCCAGTTATTCGATTCACCTAGATGAACAGTGGAAGACTGTAAACATCAGTGAATAATTCTCATATCACTTCTGAATTTAAAAACTGGTTTCACTTAGTTGGTTGAGCCTCAAAAAGTCTAATTAATATACATTTCATGCATACCTTCTCCTCGCCAATAATATTTAAACATTTCTGCTAGAGTAAAGCTGTCCATTGTCAGTGTTTTCCCATTTACGACAGAGCATATCAGACCGATCATTGGATGATCATGAAGATTTTTCCCAACGGGTAAATTGAGAAGATTAGGCTTCTGTAAAAGACAAAGAAAATAGATGAGAAACATATGATGGTCATAAGCGGTATCATGTAAACAAATTGTAATTTATGGTTTTATCATGAGATGACATCAGTTGGAGAGTCATTGGCGAACCGCGGAGAACTGGACCGCAGTCTCTGTTGTCTTAGTTCGGGACTGTGTAGCAGTACGCAGTCACTGGGGTTTGATCCCACTGTGGTGAGAGCTGTCTGCTAGCCAAATTGGTAGACAACAGTTTACATCAATGTTTAAGTCCCAAATCTTGGCAATGAGAAAAAAACAAGAACAAAGACTAACTCAACAAACACTAACAGCAGACTTTGCGTGGGCGGATACGATTCGCAGATATATGGTCTGACCTTCAAGGAAACGGCCACGAAGAGATGGTAGATAAACTTACAGAGAGAAAAAGACCAACCAGAAGATTCTGTTTATCTACTAACAATAACCTATAATAATGTACATGTCAGCTCATGATGAAATCCTCCATCCAATCAAACAAAATGCCTACGAAAACCAATACTTCAAAAATTGGTCTGATGCTCACTGGCGGCTGATCCTATTAAGGCAATGACCTGGGGTTCTAGTGGGAAGCCATGACCAGTAGGGTACTGCAGGTTGAAGATGAGGCAGTAACTTATCGAAGAAGACATTGCGAAATGGTCGCGCTATGTCATGAATTGGCAGAAGTTAGAATTCATGGGCTGGCTGGCCATTGGATTGGGTCCCAGTGGCTTAATCGTCTACGAGCTAGCTCGCCTTGTAACTAGCAGGTCCTGGGTTCGAACCCTGACGGTGGGTGAATACTGATGAAGAGTCCCAGACTGGGACAACGGAAACAGCTCTCGAGTACTCCCAGGTTTTCCAGTGATTCTCTAACTGATGTCAGCTCATGATGAAATCCTCCAACCAATCAAACAAAATCCCTACAAAACCAATACTATGAATATCTGTTGATTTTCTCAGTAAACGATGTGTTGCCTGGCCCTTGTATTCTGTCATTACACCAGGACCTTCCGGTTACAAGGCAAGCCCTTAGATCATTTAGCCACTGGTCCATCAGTTTTGACTTTTGCCAATTCACGATAAATGTAGTGCAATTGCCAGCCACTATCACAGTCGAGTATTTGTCCTCTTACCTGATTTGGTGGACCCCGCCAGTTGTGACCGCTCACTAGAACTCCAGGCAACTTTCAGTATACAGCCAGTCGTTGGTAAGCATCAGATTAATCTTCAAGCCATATCAACGAATTAGATTAGATCTTCTTCAGGCTTTACTCTAATTTACATAGATTTATATATAGAAATGTTTAACCAGTGACGGTGATTTTGGCTCATTTGATTGATAATGATTAACAAGTGGATAGAAGTAGTGTCTTCAAAGTTATCTATCGCATTTCACGACCCTTTCGAACGGAATTCGAACCCGCCTTTTCCACACAGCCGAAGCTGTGGGAATTCGAGAGCGTAATCCCAGTCTTTGCATACAAAAGAAGTTTGTTCTACCTTTATCTCTCCCTTGGCCTAGGTGAATTTTATTCAAAACCCTCCCACCCTTTCTTGTTTTCCATCTCCTTCCTACTTTTATGATATTTATTTAAACTCTGATTATCTGTCCACTTCACATTTAGTATTACGTAACTTTTAAGATATAACCTATTTTATTTATTGAATTGTCTACATATACACATATTACTACCTTTGTTATTCTTATCGCCACCTGCATAAACCTTATTATCATTATAATAATCGTTATTAATGAAGTTAAAAACATTTACCACAAAATCACCGTCATTGGTTAAAATTGTTATATATAAATCTATGTAAATTAGAGTAAAGCCTGAGGAAAGTCTAATTGAAAACAATATTGTTCGCTTATATGTTTTGTTCTGATATTAATTATCTTCAAGTGTTATTTTGCAAGCATTTAATTGGTCACTGGTTTTATCATGCGCTGATATCACCTTTTAATCGGAACAACCTGTATCCGAACTCTGTTGGATGAGGCGTACTGATGCAAAGTCCCAAACTAAAACTAGAGAAACAGCTGTCTGGTAATCCCAGGTTTCCCAGTGCCTCTGTCGCTGATGTCAAACCTGTAAACAGACAAATCCTTGCAAAGTCAGCACTTGGTAAAATGTGGTTTGTCTTTAGGTCTTCTGGAGGAAATAACAGTTTCAAATAACACAGATCTGAACCCTTTTGGTCATTGTAAGATAATTAAATGCAATGTAAAACCTGTTGGATCTGTGGATTGATTAATGCCCGTCAAACCTATATTTTCCAAAGCTTCATGTGAACGGTGATCACATCAAGACTAAGAACAAACGGTGGGATAATGAAATAACTAGAAGATCTACAACCACATAGTCTAAAAACGTTTATGACAGCAACAATCCATGTAGTGCGAGCAAAAACCACAGTTGGTTATAAATTGTATCACTCTTACTTATATAAGTCAACTTTGCTATTGTATTGACAGTGTTTAAAGATTTGTACCTACAGCTCGTCCCCGAGTATTTAAACCAATTAACTTAACTAAGGGGACTGTTATTCTTAATTTTTTATTCCCTGGGTTCCGAGGAGAACCTATGGAGGCTTCAAGTTGTGAAGTTTCATTGTGGTGACAGTGTCCTTGTTGTTTTTAACAGGTGGTGGGGGGTAGTTGCTAGCCTCACACCCATCCCGTTCTCTCTACCAGATTTACTGCCGGCAAGTATAACTGGCGAGGTCTTCGAGAGTTCACCGGCTTAGAGTAGAAATCGAACAACTTGCGTGTTTGACGGGCATTCTGACAATATCATTCAAAACGATACAATTAGAGTGATAAGTATCATTATTACTCCTTTAAGTTCCTGGTTGAATATAGGGCTTCAACAGCATATCTTTACTTTATTGCCCGTAGGTCTTCACCTATCTCTCACACTGTCTTCCCCATATCACGGTTGGATCCACTCTCAACTCTTCGTTTCCCATTTGCATTACACTCGCGCAAATTCACCCAATGTTCTCCTAGGAGTACGTCTGATCCACCAGCATTTCCTTCGTAATAATTGTTGAGCGATAGATTCTTGATTCGTTCATCCCCTGAGCTTCTTATTGCTAACTGTATCTGGGGATTTAATCTTCAATATGGAACCAGAAAAGCCTGTTGTTAATAAAAGTCTGCGGTAACCTGCTGAAATTGTTTTTAGTGATGCACGCACAAAGTTTCTGATCCATACAGAAGCACTAAATGACTGCACATTTGTGTTTTGAATATCCGAATCTTGCTGTTTATACTGAATGCAGCCGATTTCCAAACTGATTTCAGGGTGATTGGGGGTGTGTCTTGCCTTGCCGATCCTGAGTTTGACCTCTTTCAGATTTCTTCCGTAGATAGTGATTGGTGCTTGTTTTCTTTGGTTGGTTGTTTCCATCGCCCCTGTCTTCTCTATGTTTACTTGAAGTTCTGTCTTTTCTGCCAGTGAATCTTCGCGTTTGCTGAACTTAAAAATAATCTTACAGCAATTGATACTGTTTCTCTTAAGTTTTTGCCCACAAAGGATAAACCGCGCGGTTATAGATTACGACTAAGATGAAGAAAACGAGATATCCGAACACTACTCTTACATTACTCAGCTTCACAGGAGTTTCAGGGTTGTGTATACTGTGTAGTACTGATGGTGAGAGGTAACAAAGAAGCCACGGAATTTGATTAAACAGAATTTATGTCCTACAAAGACTTGAGTAAATACATTCAATTTTTGAGGAGAAATTCATATTCATGAAATGTGAGGCAATTCAATTCCAGCCTGCCTTTTTATTGAAGCTTCGCTTTATCCTATTGAAAATCTTAAGGTTTATTATTAATATTACTGTTGTTCCCTTAGGTTTCAGGTGGAACATGTAGTTTCAGCAGCACACCTTCATGTCATTATATTCTTCACAGTCATTTATATCTGGCTACTCGGTTACCTATAAGCTCTCATTTCATCCTAACAAAATCTCCGACATGAAAACTTCGGATTCTCATGCTCAGACCACTGCTTCCCATTTCGGATTCCACTCGAGGACCTAGAGAGTAGGCCTAACCTATCTACTTTTCATCCTAAATATTTATTTGTCTGGCGACAGGTTCTTGATTATTTTTATTCCCGGTCGACGTCCTCCGGCAAACCTAGCCTATCTAGTGAAAAATACACCTCTATTTAAACTTCCAGGCTAGAAACCGTACGTTTCACTCTGGGCATAAGGAGTGGGAAGACGATTAAGGTAACAGGTATCGGACCAATCCGTACTCATGTCCAGCCAAAGCAGTATTACTCGTTAAGATCAAACGACTTTTCAAACTCACCTTATCATTACTGTAGTCTTCGACTGGACCTACACCAGAACTTAATAGAATTTCTGGAGTTTTTATGGCACCAGCACTAAGTATGATTTCAGGATTCCACCTCGTTTTCTTCCCCTGGGGAGTGTTCTTTAATTTGATTGTAAAAGAATGACCTTTGTATTTGGCTAAAACTCCGTAGGCTGATAAATTCCCGTGGTCACTTCGAGTGAACAGTAACTATGGTAACAGAGTTTAATGAGAAAAAAAAATGTTAAATGAGAACCACATTTTTAACTACCACAATTATTTTGTCTACTCAGTAACACTAACAGAAGGGAATTATTAACTCAGGTGACAGGTGAAAAGGAAACTTGGCTTCTGAGAAGATTTACACCGATCAGGAACATTGTCAACTAACAGACGAGGCTCAACTGATAGTCACTGAGTGTGTCTCACTCCGGATATGAAACTAATTGACCTCTTTATAGATAAGATTTTATTTTGATAAATCACACAGTGTTATACAGTAATATTAATTGATGACCACGTTTCGAGCACAAACTATTGCTCATAATAATATCAAGTCACTCACACAACTTGTGACTTGATATGATTATGAGCAATATATATTATATATATGTATATATTATATGATAGTTTGTGCTCGAAACGTGGTCATCAGTTAATATTACTGTATAAGAACACTGTGTGATTTATCAAAATAAAAAAATCTAATCCATAATGGAGTTATACTCTACCATCACAGTGCCCAAGTTTTATGCTTATCTCAATAAATGACCTCTTATTGTCTATTTATAATTTATCTGTGTGTTCACCCGGTAAATTTTGCCTAAACTACAGTTTTTACACATAACCAATTTGAATAAAGCAAGAACAGAAGTTTGTGCAGAATAAAGTGATACCATCACTTATTTTATCGGCTCCTCATCAACTGCTTAAATCCTACAGATAGTATTAAGTATATGTACAGAAACAATTTTAACATACTTACACAGAGAGTTCATTTTTAAACAAAACGTCAATCTACGCATACAGTGTAATAACCATACAGAATGGGATTTTCGGCGTTACGTAAGCGAATGAAAGACAGGATGAAAACAACTAGCTACCATGGCAAGTGATGACTGATAACTGATTCCTTCTGAAGACATAAATCGGGTTTCAGGAGATTGATGGAGATTACTTTGGCAAACCTGAGGAGAATTGAACTCTTTTGCCCATTGATAATTTTCACCGGTCTTGTGACGTCCACCTCATGACCTGTGTCAAGGAGATGCTTAGCAATGGCAACGGGAGAAAAGAAAGAAGTGCATACCTCCGATTTTCTCAACATGTGCTAAAAAGCCTACGTCTCAAGGGAAAAAATGCTTTCAACAATGCCTTTTGAACATCCTATCCTTTGATTGGTAAATTGATATAGACAGAGCCTTTATTTCATATTCATTTGTACAGTCAGAACAAATTTTCTGTGATCTATTGAACAGTGTTCTGACCAATTTCTTTTTATACTGGATTGGAACAAAAATTTTGAAGTGTATATATTGTCATTTCCGTGAAGACTTTCTAAATATAGATCTTTCCGATGTGCCATCAGTCATTTTCATTAGAAAAACATCCAGGAATTAAATGATATCATTTTCCTCGGGTTCTATTGTGAAGTTGATATTCGAATGGCATGAGCTGGATTTTGTCAACATGTCTTCAGCTTTTGATTTGTTTCCACAGACAATATAGACGCCCATTTTTAGTACATAAAAGCAACAGTTTCCTCAATCCCGATGTATGGGATAGGTATGCTGTTAGCGCCTGTGCATTCAAAGTCAATAGTCCCAATGACTGGGACATTTGTGAGTAAGAAAGTAACTTCAAAAGAGACGAGGTGCTTACCAGTTACATTGGGATTAATAATTTGCTTGACAAACTGGAATAAAAAATCAAAACAAATGATTCAGCGAAGAGACTCTTTTCAACGAATTTATCATCAACTTGATCCGGTCGCTTGCCACTCGTATTAGGCGCATATGTAGCCCTGATACTGTGAAAGATGAGTTATACATCTTGAGGAAAATCCTAAAAGAAAATGGATTTCCACCACGTTTTATAGATAAGAATATACATTCAAATCCTTTAAAACGTGACTTATCAACTGTACCCAAGAAGATACTTTACATTGGCTTGGAATTCAAAGGGGACTTAACTTCCGATATCATGAAACGAAGGATATCACAGTCCCTGAAAAGAACATTCCCTGCTGCATCCCTGAGAATAGCCTTTACTAGTCGACCATTATTGTTCAATAACCTGAAGGACAAGATCCCGCTGTTGACCAACTCTATGTGTGTTTATCAATTCACCTGCTCGTGTGGAGCTAGGTATATCGGTCGTTCGACACGAGTTTTGTCCAAGAGGGTACAAGAACACTATCCTGCATGGCTACGAAAAGGTGGAAGTGGAACAATAGGAAGCGCGATCATTGAACATCTGGTCGATAGTGATCACCCTATCTCTATAGCCTCCGCCTTCAAAGTCATCTACAAGGCAAAGAGCAATTTACCCAAATCCCTGCGTACCCGACTCATCTGTATTGCTGAAGCTTTGGCTATCGAAACAGAAAAGCCAGATCTCTGTGTACAGAAAAAGTTCGTTCAACCCCTCCAACTTTCATGGTCTTAATCCCTCTATGCTAAAGTATGGTAATCCCCAATCATATTTTAGCTCTATTAATTTTTCATTTTTTCATTTTTTTTTCATTTTTGTCTATTCAGTTTGTATACTCTTCCTTATTAAGTCAATTGTTACTATTACTTTTCTCACTTTGAACTGTCCCCGGTATTATTTCACTTGTTCCACTTGTCATTCTAAATCAATTCCTTTATGCAACATTAAATTCTATGCTAGTAAATTTCATACAATATTACGTAACATTTTTATTTTATTCGATTTGTCTACTAATCTTATAATTGCACACCTTTTTCAAGTTCTATCCATCCTATGAATTATTCTATATATGACATTAATTTGCTTTGCCAATTGACATTTAACTACGATTAAAATCACAAACATTTTAGTTTTAATTGCATTTCATATTATTATTATTATTTTATGCATTCACACCTATGTTTCAATTCCCTCACCGGATATAACTTCTTAAAAACCATATATATACGATTGTACAGCTTGATGATAAATTCGTTGATAAGAGTTTCTTCGCTGAATCATTTGTTTTGATTTTCTATATGTTACAATGGGAATTTTCCATGATTTAAAAAACTGGAATAAATGAGAAACAGTATACGTTACAAGGCGTTTTTGCAAAGGTTGCAATAATTCACATAGCCACCTTGCTAGTTTGTGGTATGGTGAATTTATCATTGAAAGTATAGGCCTTAAGGGCCACTCCTGGTGTGTGTGTGTATTTAAAAACGCCAATATAATTTTGCGATGTGTGACAGAGTCAGTTTAATATTCCTGCATTTATTTTGACCGATATATTTCTTTTTGAAAAGTTGCCGATGATTAGTTGATTTTGTTTGATCTTTTCTTCAAGGCTATCAAAACAGCGGTTGAAATCTGAGGTCTTTAATTCTCTCACCTAGGAAATATTTTATAACCAGTGATGTGACTAGGTTTTTTGAGGGGAAACTAATTATCAGCCGAAATCAGTAGGAAAGTAAATCATCTCCTCCCCATTGGAGTGTTTTCACACGATCCTAAGCTGAGGTGTTGAAGAGAGTGAATATATTAGTGCTTCACTCGGATCATCGACACCAACACAGTCACAAACACACACATACCCACATGTACGGTATTATACACTTGGCTATTTTGTACAGTCTCAGCAATACTTTAGTGACTTTTGCTTTCTACCCTGCTAACTGTAGATATGTGTGTCAGTGGTCCAATGGTAGGGTACTCGCCAGCCAATTAAGTGATCTGGATTCGACACACTCTTGAAAACGTCTCTCAAACCTATAGTAGAAGTGGTAAAATGGAAGGACTGAACGTGGATATAGGATCTCCACACCCTTGGAAAATACCGGCTACTATTGAAACTTTAAAGCACAAACCTTGAAGTCATATGGAAGGCAAAGGAATCACACACGCACACACAAAATACTTGTAAATATATTCCAGTAACATGTTTTACTTTTTCGACTTGTACGCCTGTGATAACTGTTAAGTCATTGGGTTTTTCATTCATCAGTGGTAGCAGGCATTCACTGAATGAGCTGATACGTTGAGCATTACGAACGAAACCTAGAAAACAGTAAAAAAAATTTAAATGGTGAATAATTTAAAATAATCCGAAAATTGTGTGTCACTGACAAACATACTGCATTACATGAAGCACCGAAGATTGATTAATAGTTTAGGTTAGGTCAGACCATTCTAGTAACTATATGAAGTATGGTTACTATCGTGTGTGTGTGTGTGTGTGAATGTATTTCAGTATTTTTATTCGTGGTATTTTGCACATGGCACAATCAATATGTGGAACACTCTCCTATAAGTGTTTTTAAATTGGTAGTTTATGTATAATCTAGACTGATCAACAAATATTACGGTTTAAATGAGATGTCATCTGAGAAACGTATACTTCAAAGTCTGCCTGTCATTTTGTGGTGAGAGCTGGCTACTAGCCAAAGTTGGTAGACAGTAATTGACGTCAATGTTTATGTCCCCAATATCGGTGGTGAAAAAATGAGAACTAAGGCTTTGCGTAGGCGGATACATTTAGCATATGGATGATCTGACACAGCCACAAAGAGATGCAAGGTTAACTTTCTGTGAGAAACAACCAGTCAAAAGACTGTATTTTCTACTAACAATAATCTACAATAATGTACATTAAAATCTATAAATATGTGTTGATTTTCCTTATTAAAGGATCTGTTGCGTGGCCCTTGTCTTCTGTTGTTACAATTTAACTTCTAGCTAGGATTTTTATTTTCACAGAGATACATGAATATCAGAAAGGTTAAGATAACGGCTTAGAAAAATTTAAAAAAAATATCTTTGAGAAAATTAAAACAATTAGTCGCTTTGATAAATGATGGTGTCATGTTATTCGACAAAGACTGTTGTCTTTGCTTTATTCAAGAAATAAATGGACCAAATTTATTTTAGTTACCAACAGTAGTACATTTAGCTAGCGGAATAAATCTCATCCTTGCCGATGAAGCACATTATTTCACCATCAGCGGGAGAGATTCAACAGAGGTTGCTTCCTTCACTTATCCGACTAGGAAGCATCATTTCAACTACAGGAAGTCGAAACGGACGAAGATGTCAAAGTGGGGGAATCGGAAAGGCAAGATACGCCTTCATCAACCTGAAACCAGTTTGGAACTCTTCTGCTCTCACTCAGCGTAAGGAACAAGATTCAGATTTTCAACACATGTGTGAAGTTAGTCAGTCACTTCTTTTATACGGGTCAGAAACTTCACTAGCTTGTCGAGAAAAGGATTCCCAACAGGCTGCAGACTTTCATCAACAGCTGCCTTCTCTGGCTGCATACTGAACATCAAATGACTGATATTCAGGTACAACATGATCCATCTCGGAATCCACTGTAAATTTAATACAGGTTGGTTGATATCCAGGTACTTTCTCAAGTGCAACAACAATCTCTATAGTTTATAATATAATACTTGTAGAGAATGGTGTCCTGTAGCTGGGGAAGATGCAAAGTTTTCTCAAGACTAATCGTTATGAAAATCAAACATTAAATTATAATGAGTTTCATAACATACCCATTGGAATATGAAGTCCTTCGTGCGACTGACACGCTGCACCAAAAGAATCCACCTTTGATCCTCTCAAACTGAAGGCCTTCTCGAAATATTCATGAATCAGTCGATTGTATGGCTGGTGATTAATTACTTCTGGTTTCAAATGACACCCTTAAAAAATCAAAAGAAAAAAAAACAGAAGAAGGAGAGAATATATAATGTCACTGAATAAAATATGCAAACTGTGTGAAATAAATACATAAATGTTCATTGAAGTGTAACCTTTTTGATACGAGGAAGTATGCAATAAATGCTGAATAGTCAGAATGCTTCTCGTTATTATTCTCTTGGGTTCCGAAGGGAATATAGGATCAAAATAACACACCTTCATTTCTCTCTGTTTTTCGCAGTCCTCTTCATCTGGCTTCATGGTTTATCAAATGTTTTCATCTTCTTGGAGGATCAGGACTTCGCCGATGATATATGTCTGATTTCCCACAAACTGGGAGATATGCAAGCGAAAAGCAACAAGTGGGCAGAAGAAGCATAAAAGATAGGAGGGACTTCAGGTGAACATAGAGAAAATAGAGGTGATGAAGATTCCTGGGCAACACCACCAACAGCGACAACAACAGACAACAATCAGCATAAATGGAAGGAACCTGAAAGAAGCAACCTCCTTCACCTGCCTACCTGGGAAGCATCGTTTCAACTACAGGCGGAACTGATGAGAATATCAAAGCAAGACAAGCTTTCACTACTCTCAAGTCTGTGTGGAGATGAACAGCACTCAGCATCAAAAATAAGATCCGGATTTTCAACTCCAATGTGAAGTCAGTCAGTGCTACTTAACATACGGATCAGCGACTTGCACTGCGCGTCATAAAGAGCATCTCAAACAAACTACAGACCTTCATTAACAGTTGTCTTCGCCCAATACTCAAGATCAGATGGCCGGCCGGCCAGAGTTGATAAGCAACAGAGATCTCTGGGAGCGAACCAACACAGCAGGAACCGATTGTGAAACAAGTATGCAGGAAGAAATGGAGGTGGATTGGATTGGCCATACTCTTAGGAAACAAACCATCAAGCGACATCACTAGAAAAGCCATTGCTCGAGTGGAACCCGAAAGGGAAGCGGCGAGTTGATCGTCATTGTGATGGTGACTTGGAGGAGGTCACGTGAAGAGGAGATGCAAACGTGTGGGCAGACTTGGAGCCAGGTGAAGACTGTAGCAGAGAATCGAACGCACTGGAGACGTATGGCTGAAGCCCTATGTTCCTCGAGGAATTAAAGGAAACAATAGTAATAATAATAACAATTATAATTCATCTTCTCTTCAAATGATTTCCTCCATGTCACCCTTCGACAGATGCCGACTAGTTGTTTCCTATTTCACTTTCCACTCGAGGGCCTGGGCCACGATTTCACTCACTGGTCTCCTCAGCTGGTGTGCGATTCATCTCCATTCCCTTCAAAATATTTGTTGAGCAATCTGTTGTCGATTGGTTTGTTCACGGAGTTTTTTCCTAATTCTTTCTGCCGGTCATCTTATCTTCAATATGGGACTAGTCGTTGATAAAAGTCTGTGGTGTTGTGTTGGAAGTGCTTCTTGTGACGCACACACACACCAAGTTTCTGAATCACACGGAGGCACTAAAAGACTTAACAGTGGTGTTTAAATTCCGGGTTGGAGCAGAGAGATGAATGTTTGTCCTGCTTTTCCGATTCTAGTTTTGAAATCCCCATTCGTGAAGCTGCCTGTAGTTGAAAGCATGCTGTCTGGATAAGTGAAGGTAGTGACCTCTTTCAAATTTCTCCCACCGATAGTGATTGGTACTCGTTGTTGTGATTAGTCGACTGGTTATCTTCATCACTTACGTCTTCCCTATGTTGCTCACTTGACGTCCTGTATTCGGTGCGTGTCTTTCGTGCCAACCTGTTGGTTTCCGCCTGTAGGTCTTCAAGTTTATGAGTAGAGTCATTAGACCTAAATCGTCAGCGAACTTCATATCTTCTAGAGTGTTTTTATCGGTCCAAAGTATTCCTGTATTCTTGTCCTCCCCCACGAACGGTGTTCCGCATAATCTAGTCCACTGCAATCAGAAATATCTTCGGTGATAGAAGCTGGTCTTGCCTCACTATTTTCTTCATTTCTAGGGCTTCGCTGAGTTTTCCGTTGTGGGTCACTTGCCTATCTCTGTCAAATGTCGGTGACTTCTGGAACACTCGACATTTTCAAGAGAAAACAGGCGATTGTTTTGTGGGTTGCAATGAATTAAAACACTCTGTTGGTCCCCATCATTCATATTTTACCCCGTAAAATTTGCTTGAAACTTTTTACATGAAACTCGTGAAAAGAAATGAGGCAGGTAATCGACCAACAGTCTAATGATTCTGTTTTGTTTGTCTGTGAAAAAGTCAACAAAATGTTTTTGAAATCGGAGGTTAAATCTACCCCGTTCCTTAATCATCTCTGACTGCACAGTCTACATGATGCGTTTTGTAAGCCTAAAGTTTATCATCCAAAGTGCTGAGTAAGTTTACTTTAGGATGGAGGGACTTCATTTAACAGAAAAACAACTTGGTTCCTAGGTACATCACTAACTGGAATTGGCTAAAAACCATTTTAAAGCAAGCAATACTGTACAGCGCTTCCTGTTGTCCTAGTTAGGGACTCTTCAACAGTAATCACCATTCATCTAATCGAGAGTAGAAACCAGGACCCACAGGTTACAAAGTGAGCCCATTGGCTATTTAGACACTGGAACGGAATCTAATGGCCCACGAATTCCAACTTCTATCAACTTGCGACAGATGCCATCACTGCCACCAGACAGTGTCACTGAACAGTATTTGTCCCAACTAGATTCCACCCACCTCTTAACCAGAAGGTTCTGGGTCAGATCTTCTGTGGGGTGGTGGAGGTTTTGCTGCTACCCAGTGTCAACTTAGGACAACGGGAACAGCTGTCCAGTACTGGTTGATTTTCAATGATTCCCTAACTAATGTCGGTTTATGATCGAACTTGAAATCTATGAAATTCCTGAGAACCAACACTTGACAGTGAAGATTAATTTACATTCTTAGATTGATTAGTAATAATAATAATAATAATAATTTTTGCTTTATTCCAAAAACGGTACTAATGATACAGCGAGGAATTTTCGGCATTCATTACCGTATTGCATCTAATTTACTCAAAACGACAAAAAATATACATCACATAATAATAATAACAAAACGTTGTTGTAGCAGTTATGTAGCAATTACAGTTTGCGATAAGGAGAAAAATATGCATTAAGTGTAAAATTTTATTAATAATAGTAATAACAACTAAAATAAAATAGCTAAGTTATAAATAAACGATACAAAGGGTGACACCATAAAATTACAGAAAGATGAGCGATGAAAGGGTCGATTCACTTTGCTAACTACATAGTAAGTTATGTGTTTCATATATAATAGTGTCTGCATCACATAAAATACGGGCTAAATAGGGTACTGTAGAATTTTTGTACTTAGTGGTGCGAGCATATAACTTCTTATATTAACTTCTTGTCCTACCTGATGAGATGCGAGGGGATAGTTGTGAATAAAAGGGGGCGGTGCAGGGGGTCTGACAGTACGGCCTTTGCCCATTTTGTACAGGATTTTATTTGTCTCTAGACTATAATATTGGTGAGCTCACGCATTGGCATACCACAAGCCCTACTCACAGCATTTAATATGATATAGTAATATGATATAGTCTTTTTTGAGAAGCTCAGAAAAGATTAATGGAGAACAACAGAGTACATTAGGTGAAATACGGGAGTTTACAAACTGCAGAAGTAAAGGTTGATTGATACCTGATTGTCTTAAGGTAAGACGAAACATTTTCTTAGAGATTGATAAGATGTAGGATGACCATAAAAGGTCAAAGGAAAGAACTAATCCAAGGTATTCAATGCTTGACTTGGTTTCAGTTTCAGTGCCATTTGTGCTACAGGCATCATGGGAACTAACTAGTTCTATGGCCTTCGGTCTATATTGAAGATGAGACGGCCATTAGGAAGATTAAGCAACAAAATCTTTGGTAAGGAGACAATGGAGAACCTACTGCTCAAAAAAAGACACCCAAAGAGAGTGGAAATGGATAGGATGCATGGCGAGAAGACCGTCAGGTGGCACTGCACTTCATTTCATCAAGTGGTACCCAAATGGGAAATCACGAGTTGGGTGTGAATTCGAGAGTGTTGTGTAGCAGAAAGTCTGAAAGGGAGATGAGAGACTGTGGGAATTCGTGAAGCCAGGTGAATAGGACTTCAGAGAGCAGGAGGAAATGAAGATGTTCTGTTGAAGTGGCATGTTCCACTCAGAACTTACAGAGAATAAAAGTGATTTATTAGGAATTGTACATATGTAAGTAACAAACCTTCACTTTTACCGTCGAATAGTGTTGAAAAGAATTCCGGATCATTTTTCAGAAATTGTTTAACCAATTCGTCATCTGGATGACCACAGGAAAATATCATTGCATTAAGTACTGCCGTTCCCCCCAAAACACGTCCACTAGGTAAGAAAATCACCTATTAAGTTAAAAAGAAAAAATAGTCATTAATAATATTAGTGACGATAATAATAATAGTAATAATAATAATAATGTTCTTATTCCAAACAGTACTTTTGATACAGTACACATAATTTCCTCTTTACATTTACACAAAGCGAGGGTGAAGATTTGTAGTAGAATACAAGAGTTAGCAAACTGTAATGTAGACGCTGAGTAGTACCAGGCAGTCCAAAACTTCCTCAGGTAGAAGGTTGGATAAAGTATCCTTTTTGAAATAAACGGGTGTTTGATAATCAAAAAACGGTCAAGGGAAAAACCTAATCCAAGGTATTTAACACTAGACTTAATTTCTACTTCCGTAACCTCTCTATGTTACGCGAATCATGGGAACCGAACAATTCATGTGAATGTACTGTATGCCTGAGAGTGATGTTTAGAAGGATTCCACCTAAGAAAATTTGAAAAGGATCACTAGTTAATTTATAATGAAAAGCTATCGATTTTGGAACAGTCTGAATGGGAAGTAGCAAGCGAAGAAGATAGTCAGATTATCGACAGACTTAACAACAAAGTTGGTTCCATCAGAATGCCGCAAGTCCTTTAAGGCAAAAGTGACAAGCTCGTAAACCACCCAGTTACGGGGAACCGATTCATTGGACCATGAATTCTAACTTCTACCAGTTCGTGTTTTTAGCGCGACCACCAGTCACTGATTTCATCGGCAAGTATTTGTCCTCAATCCCGACCGGGTGGACCTCACTGGTCAAGACTTCTCACTAGAATTTCCCTCAGGCTACTTCGTCCTACAGCTAGTCATCAGTGAGCATTAAGATTAATTTTGAAGAGTCAGTTTGTAGCGGTTTGGTTTTTTCAAGTTTGACCACGGAATGATTTCGGTTATAGAACTAGTGAAAACTTGAGAGGTCAAGCTTTAATCAAGAAATGGAAGAAATTTGAATTCATGGGCCGCTGAATCGTGACCTGATGTCTGAATGGTTTATCAGCTTACCGTGCAACCAGAAGGTTTCGAATCCTAACCCCCCAGTGGGTGCATACTGTTGAAGAGTCCCGAACCACAACGATAGGAACAACTATCTAATACTCCCTGGTGGTTTTCAATGGTTCTCTAACTGATATCGATCCGTAGTCAAACTCGAAACAAATAAAATCCCTGCAAATTGATTCTTGCAAAGATGAGGAAAAGGACGAAGAGGAGCATCTTGAATAACACTGGCTACAGAAAGCGAAACAGTAGAAGACTTTCCCACGTGCTAACTTATGAAAACTTACTTCCATAAGTAATTGGTAAAACGAAATGATTTTATAGACTGATCGTCCATTTAATAGGCAGAATACTGAAGTGTGCATCGGAATCAAGTTACTTTAATGGTGTCCACAGAAATCAAGATAGTTTGTAGAAGTTGGGATTATTTGGAATCTAGTTGATTTTGAGGTGGGCTTTGTCACAAACCGACGTCACCTGGAAAAATACGTGTAAACCATGGAGCTCTGTCTCTTCCCAGCTGCCGACTTTTCAGTAGTGCACACTGGCTATCTCACAAGCAGCAAAACGTAGGGCTTTCAGGTTATCAAGAGAGACTTCTGAGTCGGAATCCAATAGTCACTTATGAACTTTAAATTCTGTCGATTGGCATTGTACCACAAACTTATGTTATCTGTGAGTATCTGAATAAAACAGCAGATTAAATGGATTACACTTCGGTAGGGTAGTATTAGAATGCTGGCCTACTATGTATGGAACACAGGGGTTGATCGTCAGCCGATGCACTTTTGAACCTCTCTCAACCGCCAGCAAACCCAGTAAAGAGGGAAGTTTGGGTGTGGGGTTATCAACCCCAACGTATAAAAAAGCACAACTGCTACTGAAACTTCAGGGCTTATGCTTGAAACCGTATTCTCTGTTCAGAACGCAACCCCACATTTGAATCCCAGATATCTTATCTTGGACAATAGTATGATAGTCAGAATTTGAGTTTATAGCTCTCCAATGCATCATGTTTTCTATGGCTTCTCCAAAAGACGTGGGTTTTCTAACGAAATCGACTCTAACATACCTAGGCTTTCGCCTTTTATATTTCCTTATGAAAGAGACTATCAAGGTAATCTTCTAATTTAGTACTGTTTTCCACAAGGACGTGGCATGATTTTAAAAATTTATCACCTTTCATCAACACTTGCGGTAACTTTCGATTTATATTCCTTTTTTAATATTATTCACAAGTAATGATCGACAGAGAAATGTTGATCATGAGGCCGCATTCAGAAAATGAAGGTGTAACCCCTTTTTTACTGGTCCGTTGCTTCGAGTGACCATGTTACTACATAATAAAATGCCCAGTGTCCTCCAGTGAAGTCATCATTAACTATCCATCATCTGTTCTTGTAAAAACTTAACTTCCAGCTGTATTATTGATATAAGTATAACACTTGGGCACTGTGATGGTAGAGCATAACTCCATTATGGATAAGATTTTATTTTGATAAATCACACAATGTTATACAGTATTATTAATTGATGAACACGTTTCGAGCACAAATAATTACTGCTCATAATCATATCAAATCACTCACACAACTTGTGACTTGATATCATTACGAGCAATAGTTTGTGCTCGAAACATGGTCATCAGTTAATATTACTGTATGAAACTGCGTGATTTATAACTATAAAATCGTATCTATAATGCAGCTAACTTCCAACTATTCGTTTCTTGACACACTAGAAACAGAGTCAAATAATGAGCAGATGTCAATGTCTTGTGGCATGTGCAATATAGATACAGACTGACAGGAAATAGCCAAAAATTGAAATCAACGTTTTAAATAGACAGCTGCTGCAGACATAGAAGTGTTTATCCCTCAAATCTGGATTTAGTTCACCCTGTAGTCTGGAAATAATCTCACTGATTGACTTATCGTCCCCCCCCCCGGCTTTTCTTTCGGTCAATCGTAAACCGGTCAGAACAGTTAATTGCCCACAGACATAGCCGACGTTTAATGTGGTTAAAAATGTATAAATAAGGTTTGTTTTTAAGTAACGTCGTCATTAGTTGACTGAATGTAAATGATGCATCTAACAGACCAAAGGGCATGAGTTTAAACCGATATTGTTTCTCACTAGCGATAAACGCTACTACCTCGTGTCCATTCGCGCACAACTTGGAATAAATGCCACCCCATCTCAGTTGCCTCCACTACTTCTGGTCTTATCAGAGAAGAAAACACATTATAATGTCCAAAATGTTTTCTTCTACAATGTCCCGGTTTGCCATGCATTCAAAGCAATTGTCCTTCATGGCATTCATTCATAGCGCCTTTACTTTGCGCTGCGAATTCTCAATTTTCTGTTCCTACTGGTTCGAGACCAGTGTCTCACTTGTGGCTACCATTATACTCTGTACTTGTCTCGCCACCTTCCTGAACTCGCCGATGTCCACAGACTATGTGCCGATGACAAGTTGTAAGTGCCGAACAGTGTGTTCCAGGACACTTGAGATAAACTGGGACTCCGACAGTCCCGTCGCAGACTTTGCATCAAGTGTGGGAAGCGACTGACGAATTAGAAATTGTCAGCTTCATCACCAGTACCATCTGGTCGCCGTCCAGTTACAGTTCATGGAGTGTGGCTGCCGCATTGCCTGCCATCTATCCATGAAGCTGTCGATCTCCTCCACTAATGATCCAACGAATACCTTCCAGGTCTCTTTATCCCCTGACCGCCACACACTGTCATACGTCGCCTGTGTCCGAACTCTCAACAGAGTCCTTAGCACGACTGTCTTCATCATTGGATCCTGGACACCCACCAACTCAGCGACAGCACCAAAGTCCCGTACGAAGCTCTGTATGTGTCCTTCTTCGAAAGCAGCAGGCCACGGGATCTTCATTATCCGAAAGTGGCGGCGCCAAATGCAACGGCAGAAGATAAGAAAAACACATCACACTTATACATTTTAACCGCATTAAACGTCGGCTATGTCAGCGCGCAGCTAACTAATCTGACCGGTTTGCGGTTGACCGAAAGAAAAGCGGGGGGGGGGACGAAAAGTCAATCAGTGAGATTATTTCCAGACTACAGGGTGAACTAAATCCAGATTTGAGGGATAAACACTTCTATGTCTGCAGCAGCTGTCTATTTAAAACGTTGATTTCAATTTTCGACTCCTTCCTATCAGCCTGCATCTATATAGCACATGCCACAATGTGAATTAGTAAACACACTAGCTGCATTTCTCTGAAAACATGACTAACATTCATAGCCTGAGATTATAAATCACTGACTTGTGGAAGCTTGTATTTTGTGGATGAATAAAGAAGTACTTTGAAGGCTTTCCCAGCTACTTCTTTCCCACTGTTGTTTCCTTAGTTTAACTTAGTCATAGTGATAAGTGTATGTTTTGGTCATATTATACTTCAAAGATTCATAATATTTGAACATGATCGTTTCACTACTGCAGATCTGAGATAAGGACATTTATTACGATTTCATATACATACTCAAATGTAATACAATGAAAAACAATCACGCTGAGAAAGAATTACATTATTTTTCAGTTGTAAAGCTGCAGATTTCTGGGATGTTGTCTGATCAACAGTATCTATGCCTCGTCCATAAAGCAATGGGGCAAACAGAGGTGTATCGCTTATTATCTTTGTCAACCAACTCATTCTTGGTCCAGACTCCAGAAGCAGAATTTTCGGTCGATAGGTGTAGCATAATGGCCGACACGTCTGATTGTCATTGTTACTGAACAGTGTTTGACGCATGCATACTGTAGCCGGTGGAGCTGAACTTGCCGCCTGATGAAATGATTTACATTGATGTCTTTGAAATCCATCCCAAAGCTTTCTCACGATAATTGAACCGGCTGTTCCACCGCCAACTAATTAAAAGAAGTACAGAAATGGAAGGTATTTCATGCCTAAGACAACATATACATATATATATATATATTCAACCCCCGCCTTTTCTCCATCCTGAGTATCAGATAGCTGATCAAAGAGGAAAGGCGACGAGGAACTCCAGCAACCAACCAATCAATAACTGATTTCCTAACAAATGAAAATTGAGAAGGAGACGGAGATACATTCAACATACTCTGAGTAGAGCGCTGAATGGCATCACATTACAAACCCTCAGAGTGAGTGGTGGACAGGAAACACTGAGTTAGGCGTCCGACGGTAATATGGAGGAGATCGAGTGTGAGCGGAAAATGAAAGCCTATGGAAAATCTTCATGCTATACGAAAAAGTCTGGAGAGAGCATAGTGAAACGCGGGTGTGCCGCTGAAGCTTTATATCATTCTAGTAAAACAAGGTAGTAATGATAATGATACGGTCCATGAGAAGGGATTGTTTTTTCACATCACAGGTTCACAAGTACAAATTGCTTTGTTGTGGAGTTCTATTCGTCACAAATCCATGTCGATCTAACCGCCTGAAATTTAAACATACATTCGACCTGTTTCGTTATGAGTAGGCTTGCGACATTAACACAGAAAGTGGTATTCCGCCGTCATATTAGCTTGAAAACTAAGGATATGCGGTCACTGAAGGCACTGAAATTGACTTTACCTACAGTATACAAAGACAGAAATTAAGCAAGCGCTCCAAACATCTCATTCCTGATTCCAGATTGATTATGAATTCCCCTGTTATACACCCAACATATTTTCTTCTAGCCCATCAAACTGAAGGACTGAAATCGTAAGACACAATTTATTACTCATAATACGGATTAATACCTACCCAGCAGAAAGCGTTCCGAGTTTCAGAGTAATATAATTTACCAAATAGCACATATTGACTTTGAAGTCAGTTACATAGATCAGACTAGTAGATAAGGATCAGTTGGAATATTAGAACATAGAAATGAGATACGTTTAAAATGGTTAGTAGCACTAAGTTACATGATCTCGAGATAAGATGGGCTACTGGAATACATTCAGTGGTATGTAGTTATATGATAGAGTGGAATAGGGAAAAAATCAAAGAATAGTCGAGTTAGGTTCAGGGAGAGAGCGAGATTAACTACCGATTCATCGAATCAACACCGTACATGTGCAGTCGAGATGATTTAACGCCTATGCAGGATATATGGAAAATTGCAATAGAAAAACTGTAGTGTAAAGCTTTATGAAGGAAGTTAAGAAGTCATGTGAAAATACTGAAGTCATTATAGACAACAGATTTCGCCCTAGAGGTCGTAGAGTCTAGTCATCATTCACCCAGTTAGATTACATATTTAGTTGAGTGCGTCAGTCATCCATTAATAAAATTTTCATCAGCCAGCATTATGGTCGGAAATTGATCCCCAGTGGAATCGCTGCCAAACGTTATACTGATATAATCATGAGCAATAAATTGTGGTCTTAACGGCATCTAGTCAGTAATACTGTGTTACTCAGTGTGTGTTATACAGATAAAGTTTTCTGGCACAAAACATCAAGGTACTAATGAGATTCCGTCTGTATGCAAGAGGAACCGAAGACTCGGAATAGGTATATTGGTCAACCCACTATTTCTTCCGGAAAATACCCCATTCAGTACTATGATCTTGTATTCTTGCTAGCGTAACATCAAGAAATGATAAAGTATTGCCCTTTACTGTTTCGTATGTGAAATCAGCTTGTGGGTGAGCCATACTGAAAGTTTTTGAGATGCACTCTGATATCGATTTTATTCTTTTGCAGGGCAAAAGCATCATCCATGTACTTATGTTAGAACAATAGTTTGTTGATTGCATTTTTCACAGGACGATTCTATAATTTTGCAATAAACATATCGACTAAAAGAAGATCCAGGGAGTAGTTCATTGGTACGTCCTCCATTTAACGGTAAAAATTTGTTGTTAAACTGAAACTACATATTCATCCTACAACAGAGTAGTTGTTGCCGTAGTGTCTTAGGTAATATACCTACGTCCATATCATTTTCTGTAAAACAAAACTCTTAAATGAAGTAGATGATCTCTCTTCCTCATAATCACTAACAGTTTTAGTAATAGTTATTCACTAGTAATATGAATAATAAACTGTGTTCAAAATGCCATCCAGTCATTAGTACTGTATCACTCGTTGTGGGTGCATGTGAGTGTTAGATCAAATAAACTTAGCTAATATGCAGTGACGCTCTACAACTGTGCTCAAATTCTTCCCTCTCATTACCTCCCTCACTTAGTTTACAATTAGTGTTTTCTCAATAGGAAGTATAGACATGTGATTTTATGAAAACAATATTAATGGTTTAAATAGTTGAGAACTGAGTGATTTCAATGCTCCAGTTTGATGGGCTGAAAGAAAATATGTCGGTTGTATAACAGGGGAATTCATAATCAGTCTGGAATCAGGAATAAGATGGTTGGAGCGCTTACTTCTTTCCAGCCGTTTGAAATTAGAGGTTATCAGCTGGAAGATAACCGCAATTTAACTCTAGCATCTGTTAGCGTCAACAATTTACTCCGAACTTATACTGAATGTAGGCAAAAGTTTCAGACGTTTAAATCAACGTCAAATTAAGGTGGATAGTACTCTAAAATAGAGAAATTTGTTTTTACAAACCTATCACTCATAAATTTATTCTATTGTCATTAGCCTTGCGTAGAGTTTAGGAAAAATTAAAACAATGGTTGCAATGAAGAGAATCATCAACTAGGCTGTACATCAGTGTGAATAATATAGCAAAATGGGTGAGAAAGTTCCAGAGTTATTTCCAGTCAAGTGTGAAGTTACCGAGATTATGAATAGGGATTAACATGTAATAATAACAAAATAAACAGGAAGGTTGTATAAGAACACAGTAGTTTCATAATTGCTAAGAAAACTGACCGTTTATGATGGCCACGGTGAAGAACAACTGAACTGGTATTTTTCATCTCTGCAACCGTCGTTTTCATTTTTTCTGTGATCAAATGTGTATAGAATATGTGGAAGTCATTTAATGAGGGATATTCTTCACACAGTTGAAGCTGTGGGCTATTTCTACTATATGGCGATCTGGCCAAAAGTGAGTAATCCAGACTGCCTCTCGGAATGTATTCTACCCATCTCCATCTCCTTCTTAATTTTTATTTTTTGAAAAAATAGGCTGTTGGTTAGTTTGCTGCCAGTCATAGTTCCCTTGTTGATTATACTTTTCCGCCTTCCAGCCTAACCATTTGATCTTCAGTGTGGAGAAAATGAGGGCAGCTTTTGAAAAAGGTCTGCAGTAGTCTGTCGGAAATGCTTTCCTTTACAAGTGCTGCAATTCTCTGAAGCATATAGCAGTAGCACTGACTTGGCATTAGGGCTGCAAATTCAGATGTTATATATGCTGTTAATCTCCTCATTAATTTTAGGCTAGTGAAGGCCTGTGTCAGTTTTCCAATCCTATCTGAGATTGCTTTGCCTTCTTCATATGTGCCACCTTTTTGTCCCTGAAACGGTGCTACCAGAGGAAATATGTGGGAAAGGTGATTACCTTTAAATTTTTACTGGCAATGGTGATTGGTGTTTGCTGCTTTTGGGTGGGTATCTTCGCCACCTCTGTCTTCTTTCCGTTCGCGTGAAGTCCTTCCTGTCTTGGCTGTCTCTCCTGCCAGTTTATTGGTTTTCGCTAGTACATCTTAGGGTTTGTGTGACATGAGATATAGATCACTTATAAAATTCATACCTTCTAGTTTTTTATCCACAGTCTACCGGATGATTTAGCCTACGATAACCAGGAAGATGATCGTCCCTCTTACATATAGCCTGTTATGCTTCAGTTGCTAGTGCCGTGTTTCTCTTTTCTAGCACTCTTCTTCAATCCTTTGTTCAGTGCGCTGTAGACTGAACTCAGGTTATTCTGTCATTATCTATCTTTGTAGTTTTTCCTCTGTTTCAATATCAGTCTCTCTGCTGTTAGTCTCCATGTGCCTATGGAGGTCTAGTTTTTGTCTTGTCTCTTCTTCCTTCCTAAGACAGATATACAGGTTTCCTTCAAAATCATGATTATAGAATTCAAGTGTTCTTCCGCTCAGGTTTCTTCGTTGATGCTGCAAAGTGTTTCCGGCTTTTCCCTGATGACTGAAGCAAAGGTGTCCCTTCAGTTTTTGGGTGTTGAACTTAAACCGTGATGAATCTCTAACAGTGACTGTTCCTTAGCGTCTTCTCTGTTACTGTTTGAAGTTTTCTGCAGGATTCTTCCTCATTCTGTCGCTCTGTTTTGTCTGTAGAAGCTTGGCGTTGTAAAACTACAACTTTCCTTCCTTTCGATTTGAATCTTGCTGTCATTATACTGGAGGAGATTGTTTCGCGCTGCATAAGGATCTTTGATAATGTTGGTGATATCATGATAACGGCGCCTTCAGTGTATTTGTGTTTGTCGTCTCAGTGATGGGAGTATATTACTAACTACCCACTTAATAATTTGAAGAAATCACTTCCATTCCATCTAATCCCACAGATTGCTAAGACTTCTTTTGTAATCTGAGCGGCCATCATAGCTTCAAACGTCACGTTGATATTGAGGGTAACTGTGCCCATTTTCGCTTCCATTAGAAGAGGATGCATCGTTTGACTAGCTTCCTATAGGATTTCACTGCTCCAAGACATTATTTTTCCAAATGAGGCATCTTTTCTATTCCAGCGAAAAGTGAGTTTATTTCCCTTATGCCTTCATTGCAAGTCCTACGTCCAACTTTCTCTGTGTTTCTCGGTCTACGACCTGCTAGTAAACTAGGAGATGCTGAGTAAAATGATGGCAGTGTCATAAAAAACATAACAGTGTACTGCCCTGCTTAACCAGTTGATTGGTAGTATAAAATTCCTATTTATGAAACCGAGGTCCACAAACGAATGCGAAAGATATTCACTCAGTTAAATATGTCAACAAAGGATGTGTCCAATAAACATGATTTTTGCACTGTTTCGTTGGAAAAATGCTGGAATTTGAATCCGCGAAGTTATCTTTGAATTAAGAGCATAAATATAGTCAGTTATGGTTGGTTGTCATGATGCACTGGAAGGTTTATTAAGCCAACCAGTTAATCTGTTATTCAGATAGAAATGATCTCTGATTCAACTGAACATCATTCAAAATAAAATCTAAGGCGAATTCTACAGAGTAAACTGTAGAACGTCTACAGAGACTGGTGAATTAAAAGTGAAATATTTATCTACCGAGGTGCATATAAAGTGATCACAAGCATAAGCAGTTGAGTATTTCTCACCTACAATATACAGATATATTCAGTAGTCCAGTCTAATATTGTGACTTTTCAAATCAATGTACTCTGAAGTAATTCTCCTATTCTTTCTTTTAATATAAAAAGGAACAATCTGTGAATAAATTTCCGGAAACCATTGAGTATTTCATGCAAAGAAAACAAAGAGAAGAGAAGAAATACAGGATTTCAATAAGTTCACCTTTGCGAGTCCTGTCTGAAGTATCAAAGATGATTTTGAAGGCCAATATATGTCCCAGTAAAGAGGGAGATTTGAGCGTGAGGATAGCAAATTTACTGCATGTAAAAATAACATCGCTCTTGGAACTTCAAAGCATGAAGCCTTGTATTCTAGTCAAGCAACAATGAAATGAAAACAAGAGGCTCCGATTCCAAAGTTGTTTGTGGGATTAAGACTTCTCTATTCGTATACGGATAAATGAGGAAAACTGAAGTAGCTTAAATTTCATATAGGAAAGCCTCCTGTGTCAGAATACCCTATTATTGTTGTATACTAGATTATGCGAGACACCGTGCGTGGAGAGCAAGAAAGCAGGAATACCTTAGACCGATAAGAAAACACTAGATAGTTTGCATTTGGCGGACGACTTGTGTCTGATGTCACATAAATTCGAAGACTAAAAGGCGAAAATCAACAAGTCGGTAGAAGAAGTAGCGAATTTCGGTAGACTTCAAGTGAACACAGAGAAGACGAAGGTCATGAAGATAACCAACCAACAATAACAAGTACCAATCACTATCAACAGAAGGAATTTGAATGCAGTCACTTTGTTCCCTTATCTAGTCACAATCGTTTCAATTACAGATAGTCGGCACAGATGAGGATGTGTAGACCAGAATCGGAAAGACAGGGAAGACCTTCGTCACTTTAAAATGAATGTTGAAATCTTCTGCACTTATCATGAACAACAACATTCTGATTTTCAACACCAATGTTAAGTCAGTCAGTTATTTTATATGGATCAGAAACTCGGAGCATGCGTTTCAACGAAAGCATTTCAAACAGCCAGCTTAAGACTTTTATCAGCGAATTCCTTCACTCCATACTGAAGTTTAATAGTCAGGGAAAATTAGTAACAAGAAACTCTAGGAAAGAACCAACTAAGATCCCAATGCTCAACAAATATTTCGAAGAAAATGGAGATGGATAGGACACATACTGAGGAGACCGTGGAGTGACATCACGCTCCAGGCAATTACTCGAGTGGAATCCTAAACGGGGAACGACGTGTTGAAGCCCGTCAGAGGGTGACATAGGGAAGATCTTGTGAGGAGGAGACGAGAGCCTATGGGAAATCTTGAAGCCATCTAATGACGACTGTAGAAAGCAAGACAAAGTGGAGATATGTTTTTGCAGCTCTGTATTCCACTCGGAACCCAAGGGAATAATAATCATAATGAAATTCAATGGGAAGTTAAATATTGCTGTTTCCAGGAAACCTACACATTCAAACCGAAAAATTGGATTTCGGTCTGTCGCATTCTATTTCAGTGGAAATAAGCAGGATTATTCAAATGTATATTTAAGAGTGTAAAATAGCTAAGTATTACGAAAGAAAATCTACGGCAGAAAGTAAAACACATCAGAGAAGCTCTGACACTAACTAACTACCCTGATAAATTAATCAGGATGCATTTAAGAAATTGTTAGCATGAAATTAAAAATAATGATAATGATAATAATAATATTTGTAATAATGAAGGTGATATGACTGAAAAACGTACTCAGAAAGATGTCAGCAACAAAAAAACAACAACAGGGAACCTCTGAAATTCCACACAGACTTCTTAACAAGGCAGGAATAAAAGCTATACTGCAATGAACAAACGCACTTAGAAACTAGCTTTGTCAGTTAAAGGAGCCTGTGGAGCCCAGTAAACAAAATAATTTTGATGAAGTGAAATACATATTTCAAAGTAGTAGGCAGAGGGCCATTCAAATTAGCAGAACACAGAAACCTAACAAAATCTGGTTTAGTTCACCCTAGTTAAATAAGGGATTTAGAAAAACAAAGCCTGGTTATATATGACATTACATGCAGTTACATACAACCATACTGTAGGATAGGACAAGATGACAGCCTTACAATATAATATGATGAGATGGGAAGAAAGACTGACAACTGAGAGAGAGCATGTACAACAGGAATGAGTCAGTACTTATCCTGGACAGTGTAGGAAATTCTACAAACCCTACAACAAATGGTAAAAAAGGAAGATAACTATTAAAGTTGAGTTTCGAAGTCACCTAGACAAAGTTGATGATATGCTTATGAACAATAAAGTATGCCCTAGACTTTTTCATCCAGTTAACAACACTGTTTCACAAATTAAGACGGATTTAAATTTCATCTGCTCAAATTATCATATATGAGTAAATGTATTCATATTAAAATAAGACCCCAAAAGGTAACTCTTACCTATGATAAAATCATACTGTGTACTTTGAAGACTCTTTATAACCTGTTCGGAGTCATCAGGATCGAAAATGCTGTATACCGCTGGCCAGATCTTGTAGCTATTCCACACTATCAAAACAGAGATTGTAGGCAAGATGAGCTTCAACATCCCGGTTCTATTCATCACTGAATAACTTCAAGAAGTAGAGAAATAATCGAGTAGACCAGTGAATACAAAACTTGTTCTTATGTTTATATTACGCGTGTTGAGCCATTTTATGAGATAAACATCACGAAGAGAAGAAATTGAAGAAGGCATTGATCATGTATACATACACATGAACACTAGGCGAAACGAACTGGTGTAAATTTTCCCATAGGGAAATAATTCGTTTAATCTGCTTAGCAGGATGACATTTATCCTGTTTTCCCTTTATTTTTTTTGTTTTTGTTTTAGTTCACCCTCCTCCCCACGCCCAACCTCATCTTGATATTCCTAATTATCACTTGTAAAAATGTAAAACATCAGCAAAATCTTCAGTTCATTGGGATAATGTTACCACTTCATTTCATCACTCACACTACAAAACAACCAATCGGATTTATTCGGTTGAAAGGCGGAAGGCAAGTATTATTGTTATTATTCAGGTTTGTTTTGTCTCTTTTTCATTGACAAAAAATTCATTTAACATATTCACCAACATTGTCGTTATTTCCAAGTCTGCTGACCTTGTTGGTTGTCATCAATGTCTAGAAGAATGTGAGATAAGCTAGACATATTTTTACCGCTCTGTAGCACCACTGGGTCGGTATTTGTGGTTCTGAATGACTTCTGATAGTAAAGTCTGACTTTCATTGAACTCCAGTAACTAGTGTGATGCATCTAGTCCTTTGTTTGCTACAGACTGAATTCTATCAGTCAGTCAGGTTTGCAATGTGACCACCATTCTAGGTAGCTCGCCATCATGGTGCACATTGATTTAATGATATTAGATGGTTGGAGACAATCGGCAGGATGCCCCGCATGATCGAGGTCTCGTGCTAGTTGGAACTCACCAGTCAGCAAGGCGTATCTGCAACCTTGAAGGAACAGCTCATTTCCCTTCCGAGATTCGAACCCGCGTCACCCCATGAGTGTTGCAGTCAGAAACGCTACCACTGAGCTATTCAGGCTCCCGATTGACCTCCTGTAGAACTGTAGTGGATACTTTGGTTGGACACTAGTCAATGGTAACGTGTCTGACTGCAGCACTCACTGCATTACGCGGGTTCAAATCTCATAAGGGACATGAGCTGTTTCCTAAAGGTTGCAGATACGCCTCGCTGACTGGTGAGTGACAACTAGCACGAAACCTAGGTCAAGCGTGACTTCCAGACGATTGCCTCTAACTATCTAATATCATAGTGGGATTTCACATTTCGCTTGCACAGCGGTTCGTTGAGGATGTCAAAACCAGAATCGGAAGAACAAGACACGCATTCATCATTCTGAAATTATTTTTTTCGAAATCCGCTCCATTCAGCAGAAAGAAGAGAATTCAGATTTTCAACACGCATGTTAAGTCAGTCCTTCCTTCTAGATATGGATATGGGATAGAAACTTGGCGTGTGCGTCACGAAAAGCATTTCTGACAGGTTCCTGAAGACTTTTCTGATAATAAATAATGATAATCAGTTTATTCTAAGCAACAGTAATAATTCACCAAAAATGCCCATGGAATCATGAAGAAAATAAAATAAAAATTCAACGAAGAAAATATTCTTCATCGACGAAGTCATCTTCAGGGGCTGTACAGTAGTAGGGGTGACAACTGATATAATTACTCAGAAGTGGCTTTAGAAGAATAAAATAAAAGTTGTAAATTACGTGGTACTCAACGGAACAAAGATAAAAATTTGATAAGGTTAAAATTGCTATTGAGTGAGAAGAAAGGTAGTTGAGTGTCAATTTAACGAGTGTGAAGATGGTGAATTAATTATTAAAGTAAAAGCAAACTAAAAGTTAAATTTGAAATTTTTTTTACAGGGAACGACTAGTGAAGAGGTTGAGACCAAGGTAGAATAAGAGACTGGACAAACTTTTTCTTTAAACAGAGTTCGGGGTTGTATTGACGAATTGCCAGCGCC